AATACTACTATAGAGTCAGTCGTTACTACTATAGTCAGTGGATACTACTATAGAGTTGGTAGATACTACCGTAGAGTCGGTAGATACTACTATAGTCAGTGGGTACTACTATAGAGTCGGTAGATACTACTGTAGAGTCGGTAGATACTACTGTAGAGTCGGTAGATACTACCGTAGAGTCGGTAGATCCTACTATAGAGTTAGTAGTTACTACTATAGTCAGTTGTTACTACTATAGAGTCGGTAGATACTACTATAGAGTCAGTCGTTACTACTATAGTCAGTGGATACTACTATAGAGTCGGTAGATACTACCGTAAAGTCGGTAGATACTACTATAGAGTTCGTAGTTACTTCTTTGGTCAGTGGGTACTACTGTAGAGTCGGTAGATACTACTGTAAAGTCAGTCGTTGCTACTATAGTAGGTCAGATAGACTCTGACGGTCCCACCTGATGACGGAGACTTGTATTGCCTCCGAAACGTCGTGAGTTTATTATTTTATTTTTATTAATTTTAATTTCATTTTTTTACCTACGTGACTTTACCGAAAGAACTAAGAGTATGAATCCTTGCAGTCACGAAATCTTCAAATCTAGAATCAGTAGATATTACCGTAGAGTCGGTAGTTACTACTATAGTCAGTGGATACTACTATAGAGTCAATAGATACGGCTATAAATTCAGTATATACTACTGTAGAGTCAGTATTTACTACTATAGAGTTGGTAGATACTACTATAGAGTTAGTCGTTACTACTATAGTCAGTGGATACTACTATAGTCAGTTGTTACTACTTTAGAGTCGGTAGATACTACCGTAGAGTCGGTAGATACTACTAGAGTCAGTAGATACTGCTACAGTCACTAGATTCCACTATAGTCAGTATATACTGCTGCAGAGTCGGTAGATATGACTATAGAGTCAGCAGATACTGCTATAGAGTCCGCAGATAATAATACAAAGTTAGTAGTTACTACTTGAGTCGGTAGATACTACTGTAGGGGGGCAGTAGATACTACTATAGAGTCGGTATATACTACTGGGCTCAGTAGATACAACTACAGAGTCAGATACTACTACAGAGTCAGTAGATACTACTATACTATAGAGTCGGTAGATACTACTGTAGAGCCAGTTACTACTGTAGAGTCAGATACTACTATAGAGTCACTAGGGTGTGTAGGTATATATGCCTACGCGGGGGTAAAAATATTCTTGGGGGGGGGGGGGTGGTCGACAATTTTCAGAAACCTTTTAGATCAACTATTTACCCCCCACTTTCTATAACTTTTTGGACTTCTGCAAACCTCTTATAATTTTGTTGACAGACAAATGGACAGACAAATGGCACGCCGGGCTTTCACAATAGCTTAGTATTTGTGTATGTGTAGTGGTGTATTCACACGGACACTTTTAGCTTTTCTCCTGTGTCACTTTATTATTTCGCATCCTGTATGGATGCTCCTCACACTAACACAACGCACCCTTGCTCCGAACTCCCTCTCTCTATACTCCGCTAGCCCATCACGTAGTACTCCGCTAGCCTGTCACTCTTCTCTCACACCTCCACCTCGTCGTTGCCCCCAGCGGGGGATCAGCCAACACCGCTTGGGAGGACGAGGTGTAGAGGGCAAGGTCCCAGGCGTCTTCTCCCTGGCTCTTGTTTTCTTCGTTCCTTCAGCTCCAAACCAACTACCCCGTGTTGCTCCGCACACACATTTATACCCCCCTCCTCATTAAGGGTCATCAGTTACCCCCCATTAAGCTGGTGCTTCAGCGGCGCTTCCTGCACGTGCTTTTTCTTATCATCTCCATCTCCCGCCTCTCTGTCGTCTAGAACCGTATTCCCACGCTCGCACCTGCCTGTGCCCAAATGCACCCGGTTAATTACTGCTTCTCCCCATTATTGCTGGTGCCTCTCTGGTGGCTACTCCATGTCTTCACGCTTGCACCTGCTCGCCCTCAAATACACCCGCTGTTTGCAACCCCCGCGCGTTAATCCACTATATACGTGTATGTTGAGTTTTTAAGAGAAGTTCTTAAATATATTTTTCCCCCGGGCAATGCCGGGTACTTACCGCTCATAAATATATAGAATGTAATCAATGCGAGGTTTTGATAACTTTGTGGACCCATCCACTTCCTTTCTCCCCACCCAAATATGCCCACCTTCGGAAGTTTCTAGATAATAATAAAATAAATGAATAAAGAACCTTTCGACAACTTACTGAAGGCGCTGTACTTGGCAAAGTAAATATCACATCCCAAGGGTCAGGAAAATGTTTGAAGACCGAGGAGCTATTTCGAGTGTCTCGTGCCGGTGTGCAAACTCGTTAGCGTTGCGCTGTGGAAAGCCGAGCGCGCTGGATTATGGATGAGCCCTTTTGTTGTGCGCGCTATTCGTGGGCCCAGCGTTGATCGGCTTCTCTTCAGAAGCAACTCATTAAGTGAAACGGGACCTGCGTTGGAGGAACAATTAGCCAAGAAGCTTGACATGCGGCCTCGGATGAACTGACACATTCCATTAAATGCACATTTAACGCCATGCCAGAAATGTTACTAATTGTGTTGGGGATTTAGGCGCTTGAGTGGGAAAGGGGTGGTGGGTAGGGGGGACAAGGATGAAAGGGTGCAGCAATAAGTCTCGTTGAGGAAACGGGTGTGAATTGTCACGCTTTCAACTCCCAGCCCCCGATGAGCTGCGCCTCGGTCGAGAGAGATGATTGGCAGAAGATGTAATTTGAACGTTTGCGTGTGAGCGATCGTGCAGCACAATGGTAGCAGCGAAAGAAAGTATAATATTGGTTCACTCGTTCATTCGATTGTTCATTTGATCAGTTCGATTGTTCGTTTGATCAGTTATTTCTTGACTTAAAGCTTTCGTGACTGCAGGAATTAATATTCTTGGGTCTTTCGGTAAAGTCACGTAGATAGGTTCAAAGAAAATAACAAAAAATAACAAATCACTAAAAAAGTCCGATCGCAACACAAGTAATCGTCATCAGGAAAAAAAATATCGTGATGTATTATATTTTGAAGATTAGATCACAATCAAAAAGGATTACACTGAGATCGATAGATGACCTTTATTTCAGATCTATAAAAAATAAATAAACCGCATTTGCTGTTACTATTTGTCTATCTTTGCTTAATATAAGACACTCATTTCAGAGGGATCTGATGATATCTTTTGTCAATTACATTATCCTATACTTTTTTTTAATATGGGCCGAAACCAGGGTGTGCAGGGAAAACCCTCGTGGAAGAGAGAACGACTCTCAGGCATTACACACAGCTTGTCAGCAACACCCCGGCTGTATCGTTTCCTCCAGGCACCTCGTGAATTGAGTCACCCACATCAATGTACTTCCCCATATCTTGACAGTGAACGTACCTTCTGTTTTACTGAAACTCTTTATAGCCTTTATGCAGCCATCTGGAACGCTCTTCCGATATTAGGAAGCCACTGGAGGTATGCACTTTTAAATAAAAATTGTTACTAATTTATTTCTAACTGCTTTTTGTGTTTAGTTTATTCTCCTTCCCCCTGAACCATAAATCATTGTCTTCTTGGTTCTTTCGATAAAGTCACGTAGAAGGGAAATAATAAAATAATAAAAATAAAACATAATAAAATACAATTCTCACGACGTTTCGGCCACAACGCAAGCAGCCGTCCTCAGGTGAAGAACAGGTCTGTCGAAAAGACAGCATCTGAATGAGCACCACCAAGCTTGGCAGCGTATATTTAAGCTGGGTTAGAGGGGGAAGGGCGCCTTGACAAAGGAATTTGCATATCAAGAGGAATTTAGCATATTTATGGAAAATGCTGATATGGGATTAGTCACTACTTGTGGAATGCGCAGGAGGTGGGGGGGTCTCAAAGTCATATTATGCCCGTGAATTACGTAGGATTAGCAGCATCAAAGGGAGGGAGTAGGGTTAGCAGTAATAAAGGGAAGGAATTTTAATAGTAAGGAGCTGTAACAGCTAAACCACCACATAAAAAACTAAAATATAAACTACAACTCCCATCAGAATTCCCTGTGACAGGTGTCTCAAGGCGATGATAAATTATGAATGCCACTGCATTATCGAATGACGTACACATGATCCGCTCTTGTTTAGTGACGGTGCGGTGGATGTGCTAATGTGTTTGAATAATGAATTAATATGAGGCAGTGGATGGTTGTATTTAATAATAATTTTAAAAACATCTTTGGGATCAAGTGCTTGCTATGTAGTGTATTTCATAAGCTCTATATTTGTGTTCGTGGGTTTAAAAATAGGGTTTTTCACCTATATATGTGAATGTGACGGTGAGTGACCAATGTTAATTATAATGTTATATTAGGGCTATCAATCCTACATTTGGCACCCCAACGAGTCCAGTCTATGCTTATAATTAAGAAAATCCTAAAATCTATGTTTTTTATTTATTTGGGCTTCAAAAAATGTTGGTCTTGAGGTTGATTAGTTTTCACTCAGAGGACATAGAGAGCCTATTTTCCTGAATTCCTTCAAGTTTCATTTGATGTTAAAGCTGATAAAAAGTTGGTGAAGCCCGTTCCTATGACATTTTGGACGATAGTTTTTTGTTGTTCAAAGTTATCACACACACATGTACTCTGTGTGTGTGCATTAGCCAGTTCACCTGTCGATTCAATGAATTATCAGTATTCAGGATCACAATTGTAATTTAATTCATTAACTTGATTTTAACATTACAATATGATTTGCATAGATTCTAGTAACGAATGCTTGCCCACGTTTAGATGCACGTGTCGTGAATCTAAAATTGACTTTTATTCTAATTATAGCACAAAAAACGAAGTCAGACGTCAAGAATTATTGATTGAGAAATCGGTTTCTGCCATAGAAATGTGGATTTTTCACGAGTGGCAAGGAATACGATTCACTAAACTCTACAGTACCATTATCACCTCCACTGCCGCTCGCATTTGAGTTCTAATGGAGCGCTACCCATCTCCTCACAGCTGAGCACGCACCACAAACTGGGCATCATGTACTGCAAGGCCGGCCAGAGCACGGAGGAGGAGATGTACAACAATGAGAACGCGGGGCCAGCATTCGACGAGTTCCTCGACCTGCTGGGCACGCGCGTTCGCCTGCAGGGCTTCGACAAGTACCGCGCGCAGCTCGACAACAAGAGTGAGTGCCGGCGCACGCCAGCGGGAGGGTGGTGGTGGCTGCTGCTGCGGCGGCGGCGGCGGTGGTATTGGTAGTGGAGGTGGTGGTAGCAGTGGTTATTGGTGGTGGTGGTAGCGATGGTGGCGGTGAGAGCGGAAGTGTCAGTGGTAGTATGGGTTTTTTTGTTGGTGATGCTGGTGGTAGTGGTGGTGTTTTCAGTGGTGGTAGTAGTGATTTTTGTGGTAGTGGTAATGTCGATGGTGGTTTGTAATGGTGGTGGCGACGGTGGTAGTTGGTGGTGTTGCCAGTGGTGGTGGTAGTGGTAATATCGGTGGTGGTGGTGGTTGGTTGTTTGACCATTTATTTTCCTGTGGTGTTATGCCTGCCAGGTGCTTATTTCAAGAGAAGATGGTTGCTTCTGTTTACAACTTTTTACAATTTTACCAGATTTTTAGTTATTGTTAATTGTTACCTTTGAGATCATTTTAAATGGGGAACCCTGGGTGAGGAGCATGGTTACAGGGTGTTGTGGCAATGTAATTCAGATTCCTGTGACAAATCAGGCAGAGGGTAGTGTTTAATAATATACCAAACATGTCAATGGCTACCTGTGGAAACCAGGGTAGGTGAATAACAAACGTAGTCTAACGTCCTTTTCTGAATCTCCTTCCAACCAGCCAAACTGATTGCAGGACCGGGAATCATAAGAAAGGCCTTTGTCTAATTACAAGCAGACCTACAGTTATACTTATTTGACCTTATCGCACCAATGAAGCGTTTCAAATGAAAGATGTGGCTGTGGCACGGTTTGTTTTACAAAGCACCCCACCAGCTGCTTGCACCCAGTTTCACATCCACTCCCCTCAGTGTCCACGTTTGCTTTGGCCACGTTCCACATTCGAAATTTCACGTTGGTGGAAAAGTAATTTTAAATAAATTCTGATTGTACATTTTTATTCTGCCTAAGGATTTGCACCTGGTTCTTGTCGGAGAACCGGACTCCGGTTAGAATTGGTCCCCTAAGGCGCAGGGCCTTTTACATTCACTCCCTCCTCAAGATCGTCAGCAGCTCATAATTAATGTAGGAACACGTGGCCAGTTGTTTAACTAATGCACCGCGTAGATTGTCGAGGCAACGCGCCGATGAAATATTCATCTTGCCTTGGTATCCATTTAGTGTTTACCCATCTGCTCGTGCAAACGTTAAGCATACACAATGTGCAGAAATTAAAAGAAAACAACTTAAAATATTAATACAGGCCCACCATGTTCTCAAGTGCTTTAATTTATTTTAATGTAGTATCATAATTGATTTTAATTTTCCATTACGTTTGTAGTGGTACATTGGTAATATGCGTCGAAACTGGAAGGCGTACTCTCCAACGTATTTTTTGGATCGTCATACCGCGTGTTTTCGACGGCATACTTGCAGCTCTGAGCTTGTCGAGCAAAACGTCGGACATCATGCCTAATAAACGTGCATTGCAACCTGCAAATGCATCGGAGAGCCACCAAGCACAACTGCAAAAACTTAAGGAGCAGTAAAAATGTAAATAACTCTTATGCTTGGTACAGGGCGAATGGGTTGCATCCTTCTCGGTGGTTATGACAAAACTGATATTTGTTGTCTGCATTCGTGTGGCTCGCTGGCCGAGGTCTGGCATTTTTCTGACTGGCCCAGACCCTGGTTCTTGCGGGCTCCAGCCACGCACTTCTCTGCAGCTATCATATACATACAATCATTATTGACTGATGTAATGTTTCATCACGTTTTAAAAGCTGAAAATTGGCCCGAATATAATGGAGTCTCTGTAACTGCAAAACTCAACAAATACAACCAAAATGTTGTAACTTATGACCCGCTAAATTTTGAAAACAAATTTTTTTTAAATCTTGGCTTAAGAAAGTTTGTTTGGTTTTAATATCTGGAGGATCTGAAGGCTGCTGAATCCAAATAGGAAATCAGAATTTGTAAAATAAAACTTTGAGTAAGTTTAGTAGTGGTGACGCTAGAGGGAATAGATACAAGGTGAATCCTGTACCCTGCCCAAAAATGCCTTAACATGAGACCTCTCAGAACTAACACAACACTGCATCATGCTCCTTCGCGATCTCTACGAGCGGTTCGCTATATATCACTCCTGAAGTAAATATTTACAAACTTTATCCCTCAAAAACTTATTTTGTGCAATTATTTTCTGACCAAACTGCACTCACTCCGCTTGAGGACGTGGTTTAATCACAGGCTGCTAGAGCCCAGATTCAAACTCATTTTCTCAGCGGTGTTGGCTCATTGCTCTGGAATAGGATTGACGAATTTCCACAGATAGGAGTTGAGCACTAGCAGACGTTCATTTAAAAGTGGAGACAATTTTAACTCTTTGAGTCACGTGGACAAAGCTTCCTGTGTCGTCGAGGCTGACCCAACAGTGCTGGTGCCACGTGTCCCCTCCACAGCGGATTCGACGGGGACTCACTCCCTCTACACGCAGTACCGCGATTACGAGATCATGTTCCACGTCTCCACCATGCTGCCGTACACTCCCAACAACAAGCAGCAGGTATGACTTGCGCTCACGTTCAGACTTTGCTGCCCATTCATTTATCTCGGATTCACAGTGACTCGGCATCGCGTGGCACGGGGAGCGATCGGGTTTGATGATGTGCAGTGGTAGAAGCACGCCATGTTCCTTCTGCGATTCAGCGGTGTTCTTAATTAATCAGAGGTGCAGACTGCGACAGCCTCTGCTTGTAAACGAGTGCGTGGCAACAGCTAACTTCCGGCCACAGGAGGAGTCTCAGGCAAGCCGGGTCAGATGGTGTGGTGTATCCACAACGGAACAGCCTCTGGGGGAAACATAGGTGCCGACTCTGATTTCATGTTCCCACCGTTGGCCCATTAACGGTTTCTGAGGTCTGGTGAGAGGGAGAACTTAGGGGTGTGGCAGTCATAATAAAGGAAAGGTTTTGTTTTGCTTCAATTTTACTGCAGATATTTTTGACAAGTGAATAAGGGGTGTGACGACGATGGATCATTTCATTGGTTAAAAACGATTATTCTTGCACAAAATCTTGTGTGCACGTATCGTCTTTTTCTATTCGTTTTCACTCTCGTAATGGGTTCACATCATGACTTGAAGTCATGAAGAGCGATGCCGTTCTCCACACTGAGAAAACAGAACATGCTCAGTGAATCGAATAACCACTCTGAAGTTTTTCAATTAATCGAATCACCCCACTTGCAGTGGCTCTGCATTTGTTTCACCCCTTACAAGAATATAAACCCCATCCTTGCTAAGACAGTATAGTAGGAAGCTTTCCCGTTTTTTTGTGTATAGGTGAGGTTTTGTTGTGCACCAATCATCGCTCCAGATAAGCCGCACAGTCTATGCTTATAATTAAGAGTTGCATTTTACATTTGCATTGAATGCCTATTACACGTGGAAAATTTTCTGCACAGCTTGCTATTTATCTATTTATTACTTTTAACAATGTTGCTGAGGACAGGTGTAAAGGCCTTACACGTCAAGTAGCTAGCAACAACAAAACAGCTCGATCAAAGTTGTGGCCACGTGATCCCCCATTGGGTGTGTACAGCAATGTGTACCGCTAAACTACATTGTGCAGTTTTCGTTTGTTTTGGAATAAAAATAATGCTTTCATACAAAGCAAACACCTTCAAAAGATTCTGACAGAGAAATGTTGTTTTTGTAACACAAAGTTGTGGTAGATCAGTGCCAAGTTTGTATACAGTAGTTCATAGTAATATTGCATATTCTTTGGTTCTTTCGGTAAAGTCACGTAGTTATAAAAAAAATAAAGTGAATAAAAATATCACGACGTTTCGATTGCAACACAAGCGGTCGTCATCAGGAAAAGGGGTTAGCCTCTAAAGGCAAACTGTTTATAAAGGTTTGGAGATTGGCGTAGCCCAAAAGTACGACGTTTCGACCGCTTGTGTTGCCATCGAAACGTCGTAGTTTTGTTTTTTGTTATTTTCTTTGAACCTATCTACGTGACTTTACCGAAAGACCCAAAGAATATGAATTTCTGCAGTCACGAAAGCTTTAAGTGCAGTTAAAAAGTTCGACTAATTATATATGTTCGACTAATTATATATGTACATTGACTTTGGTTTTAAGGGAACTTAGCTTAGCTCTTATCTCTTGATATGCAAATTCTTTTGTCAAGGCGCCCTTCCCCCCTCCATCCCAGCTTAAATAGTCGCTCCAAGCCTGGAGTGTGTCATTCAGACTCTGTCTAATCGACAGACCTGCTCTCCACCTGAGGACGGCTGCTTGTGTTGTGGCCGAAACGCCGTGAGAATTATTTTATTAGGTTTTATTTTTATTATTTTATTATTTCCATTCTACATGACTTTCCCGAAAGAACCAAGAAGAGGACAGATGTAATAAACTCCACATTCCTCATTAGCGCACCGCCTTATAAGGTACAAAATTTATATAACTGCAAGATGAAAACGCGTAAATAGATGTGTGGCTTCGTTGAAGTGCAAATAGACAGAGATTACTACCTCAGGTTTATTTAGGCCCTTGTGCCACCTGTAATTAAGTGATAGACAGCGTTAAGTCTCGAGGCAGCGTTAAGTCTCGGGCTTCTGGTGCTCTGGATAAGGCTCAAGTCTGACCATAATTATGTACAGTGTATCGCCCACGAAGCTCTTTCCAGTTCTGCCACGTAGGATTATTGTAGGCTTTCAATATTGTTCATGTGCTCATATCCATGGCTGCGTCAGTCGAGAAACTCTATAAATTGAAAACGGCTAAGTCTAATTTATGTCCACTGTTTGCTTTAGATTACAGAGATAGATCTTTGTTATCATCTTCTCGTATTAACAGTAAGAATTAAATGCAATTGTGACACAAATCCGTTTCTGTGCAATATAATTGGCATTTGTAAATGCTGATATGAATTTGGTTGTTTTGTAAAAGGGCAGAGCTGCTGTACAGGGAATCTGATGTAAACAATGCAACTGCATGGGTATTCGCGGTTGTCCCGTACAGCTCTCAATGTGTTTTCGGGTTGTGTCGTGTGTTGTTCGGCAAGTTCAAGTTTCAAGATTATTTTATTTAACCAGGTGAGAACTCAGGAGACCAGGATAGAGTCTCGGTTTCAAGAGTGACCTGGGGCACCAAAAAGGCACAAAGCAAATAAAATGCAAAAACAGAAATGCAAATAGGAATCTGCACAAAAAACAACTATCACATTAGAAATTTAAAATAATGACAAAACAGCAGCAATAGAGGATTCCATGTTGTGTTCACTTAGTGTGCAGTGTTGTGCCGTGTTGGGTCGTGCGCCTCAGTGATGTTTGATTTGCATTCTGCTATGTAGCAGTTTTTTATGTGAGGCATAATGTATGGTTAACTCCAATAAATCATAAGAATAGGCACGTTTCGTGACAAAGCTCGCAGATTGTGGGAAGCAGTGGCAGTCGCTCGGGTGATTTGACAGCCACGAACTTTCATCTACAACACAAACCGGGCAGCATACTTGAAGAACTTGTTCGTGCAACTGAAAAACACAAAATTTCACGTTAAAATCTGCTCACCAATTACCGAACCTTGTCTTCAAAACGAAAAAAAATATTCAAATCCATCCTGAAATTGTCTTAATTGTGCACTGTAACTGAGCTACATTCTTGGTGCAAGGGAGCAAAGTTGGCAAAGTCCCTGATTGTGCATCGTCGGCCCACCGACCGACCGTCATCGCAATCCCAGGCCGCGTGCGTATTGCACAGCGCGTGTGATGGCACTGCCAGGGCTTAGGTGGTGGCGAGGAGCCAGCGCGGCTCAGCATGGGGCTGGGGTATTACACGGCTTTGTCTCGCCCGCCCGCCGCCGCCCGCCCGCCCGCCCGCCCGCTCGCCCGCCCGCTCGCCCGCCCGCTCGCCCGCCCGCTCGCCCGCCCGCTCGCCCGCCCGCTCGCCCGCCCGCTCGCCCGCCCGCTCGCCCGCCCGCTCGCCCGCCCGCTCGCCCGCCCGCCCGCCCGCCCGCCCGCCCGCCCGCCCGCCCGCTCGCCCGCCCGCTCGCCCGCCCGCTCGCCCGCCCGCTCGCCCGCCCGCTCGCCCGCCCGCTCGCCCGCCCGCTCGCCCGCCCGCTCGCCCGCCCGCTCGCCCGCCCGCTCGCCCGCCCGCTCGCCCGCCCGCCGGCCCGCCCGCTCGCCCGCCCGCTCGCCCGCCCGCTTGCCCGCCCGCTCACCCGCCCGCTCACCCGCCCGTGCCGTGGGGCGGGACAGGTGGGCGTGGCCAGTGTGCTGTTTGCTGTTGGTGGCTTTGCGTTTTGGCTCTTTGGACCTGTACTTCGGCAAATGTCAAATGTATTCACATTAAAGCAAAAAGAGCATTAATGCAAAATAAAAGTTGTATTTAATTATAAATATTGTAAGTCAAGTGTAGGCACAGGATCAGGCTACTAATAATGGTTTTGTAAAAGATGATTGTTATTTTACTTCGCAGTGGAGATACAACATCGGTGCAAGGTTGAGCAATACACCAATGCACAGGGAGGGATGGCCGGTCGTTTAATGTTGTTGCTTTGTTTCGAGAGATCAATACCGTCTTACCATGATGTGCTAATTACAGGGCATGTCTAAGAAGCGTTTAGATAGTCATACAGGGCCTGGGTTTGATTTATAAACCCAGGCCCTGTGAGGCACGAGTGTTACCACTTACCACTGTGCCAACACCCTAACGCCAGAGTGGAGTGGCAAGCTTTGGCGAATGATTTTGCGGAGCCCACACCCCTGGTTCCATCCTTCAAACATGCGCAGGCAGAGTTGGCAGAAGCCTCCCTAAGCCACAGAGTCCAAGAATAGCATTCCTTGAATAATTGAACTCATGCAGCCACACAGGAATGCACACATTCAGTGGGATTCTCCAGCTGTGTTTTGTTTTCAGCTTATTTTATATATATACAGTTTATATATGCACAGTTTATATATCCAGTTTATATATGTGCAACGGGTTACTTTTTTTATTTAACGGCAAACCGCGGCACAGCACACGTTATGGTCGGTGCATACAGCTGCTTTGCAATTGTCCTTGGCGTCTTGTTCTTTGGAGCCAAAACTTAAATTACTAAAGCCAGCTTGCCTCTGCTCATGATGCATTGAATATCAAAACCCGGCCAGAGTTTGCTTGTGTTAAACCAGTGCTGCTGAAATTGTGCATTCCCAGAGGGCCCGTGCAGCTGATGGGATGTGTAACTTCATACTTTTATTTTTTCACTGTCGAAGGAGAGATATGTGAAGGAGGCATATTGTCTATTTATTTATTTTGTTACTTATATTACCCAGAACGACTCTGTTATTAATTATTGCATTAGGTTGGTTGCTTGGCCTTTCTCTCTCCAGGTACTTCCATTCATTGTGTTTTCTAAAGTCGACCATATCATTCCATCTGACCCTCAGTTTTTCCTCTAAGGCATCATGGCAATGTTTATCTTTCATGCAAGGCAACTATGTAGATCAATGTGTCATGTGCAATGTTAATGGTTAGACAGAAGCTTGCCCCCAGGGTGGGAAAAGGCAGCTAAAATGGAAACCAAGTATGTAGTGTTAAGAGAGACTGGTGTATTAGGAGATGAGTGTTTGCGCCAGGGCTGACACCTGTCTTACTTACAGCTCTTAACATTGGACTTAACCAAAACAACCAGAACATAATTTTCTGCATTTGAAATATAAGAACGTACTCTGTATGTGAAGAATGTTTTGCCATGGTAGGTTACGCGATTTGGAGGTTCTGAAATGAACAATAAGATTGGTTGAGGCTATTGACCGAGACATACATTTTATGTACGTATTTTGAACTTCTTTCGCTCCTTACGTCGCCAACCGTGCTCATTTGAGTGGCGCCCAGAGGTCGGGGAAAGTCCCAAAACCAATTGGTGAACCACAGTCGGATGAGCTGGCAGACGGAAGTGAAGTGAGGCGCGTTGGCATAAACTGTGTCGGTTGTGACAACTTCTTGGCCTTAAAGATGAATCCTTGTTTGCTTGAACGTTCTGTGGTTGGTGGCCGTGCTAAAACTTTTAATTTGGTCAATGTTGTGCATTATTTTAGTATTGTTTTTTTGTTCATGGGTAGTTTGAGATTAGCCAACGAATGTAATTATCCTTAAGTATCCAATGTGTTTCCGTGTCTATTATTATTATTGTTGTTTTAACCTTTTCTACCCTCACATTTTTTAAATTTTAGATTATAGCTTTTTCCACCGTTATATTTTCCAGTTTTACACATGTGGTTTTTTGGTGTCAGTGACGAGTAAATGTTATGGAACTCATCGAGCAGGGCATCTCCCTGTGCCATAGAAAATGACATCATAGAACTACTTCTGAGGTCAGTTTACCAAGACTCTTTATCCGCACTAGGGTCGCACTTTTTACATGCCCTGCTAAGAGTGTTTGTTACATATTAAATAGACTGATAGTTTTAAAAATTGCAAAGACAAAATTTTTAAATAAAAGTACAGCTATGAAGCAAATAGAAATCGGAGCAAAAACAACTGTCACATGAGACATTCAAATGATTTCTGCAACATAAAGATGAACATAAATTATTTTTGTGCAGTCGATGGTGAGCAGGGCATTGGAAGACCATCATCTCTGCTACACGTGAAAATCCTGCTTAACCATGGGGTGTTTGCCCAAATTCAAACCTCTCGTGTTTTACCATCATCGTGTTGTTCGGTCTCTCTCCCTCGTACTGTCTTTGGCCCTCAGCTGCTGCGCAAGCGACACATTGGCAACGACATCGTTACCATCGTTTTTCAGGAGCCAGGCGCACTGCCATTCACTCCGCGCCACATCCGCTCACAGTACCAGCACGTGTTCATCGTGGTGCGTGTGCAGGACCCTTGCACGGACAACGTTTCTTACAGGTCAGCCTAGAGAGCACGCGTTTGAGCACTCATGACACCATCATCATCATAACCATCATCGTCGTCAGTTAACCTTCATACCACGCCTCCCATGCAGTGCGTCTCGAGCTGTCCCTCTGTGGCATGAGGTGAACATAACACCAGCCAGCGAGTGGGCAGGGTTCATTGACAACACCTGAAACAAGAAATATTCACTCTTTAAAGGTTTGTTTCAGAGCTGGGCTATTTGATAATTATTAAATAATCGCATTTGTGGATCTCTGCAAGATCCACTAACCCTGCCTCCAAAGGGCCGGATTACTGATATGCATACCAGTGTGGACACCATCATTAGTACTGCAGATAGTCACGTGAAGATGCATTAAAATCAATTTTTATGCTCACAATGCACGCATCGAATTGCACGCTTAATAATGATATCTTGGTAATCCTGTATGTTCTATGCAATTGGTTTGCATAGGGGATGGGATTAATTTTTCCCTAACTTGGCGCCTAATAGGATCTTGGGCACACGTGAACACACACAGCTCAAGTCGCCTCTGTCAATCCAAGTGGCCCGAGCAGTGGCAGAAGTGAATGAACGTGCTACATTAGAGAGAGAGAATACCCAATTTTTGTGGCTAAGATGTTTGCAGGGACAGATAAATATAAAATCGAAGTGGAAGGTATCATGTGGTCGTGAGCCGTATGAAATGAAGTCCCAGGCCCTCTCCAGCCTGTGGGTTCCCTTTATGTGAATTTCGCGGCCACAAGTGCTTGTGCATTTTCCAAAATTGTCCCAAAAAGTAATCGAGTCTGCATTAGGAATCGCGTCCGCGAATTGTGACGGTTCCACGAATTTGCAAGCCACAAACACGGCCGCACACCTGACAGTCCCCCACTTATACATTTTCTCACTGCCAAACGCCACCGCCTGTTTCCCCCACCCCTCCTCCGACCCCTTCTCCCCCTTTCCCCCATCTGCGTGGGTGTGCGCAGCGTGTCGGTGGCGCGCTCAAAGGACGTGCCGTCGTTTGGGCCGCCGTTCCCCAACCGAGCGCGATTCCCCAAGTCGCCGGCATTCCGCGAGTTCCTGCTGAGCAAGGCGATCAATGGCGAGAACGCCGCCTTCAAGGCCGACAAGTTCCTGGCGATGGCGACGCGCACGCGGCTCGAGTACCTGCGCGAGCTGGCCGAGCACCACGCGACGGGCACCGCCCTCGCCGACGCTTCCGCCTCCACCAAACTCGGCGCTCTCATCTCGCTCGGCGGCAAGCGGCGCGAGAAGACGGCGGGGCGGCCCGGCGCCGAGATCGCCGAGATGCCAGGGGCGCTCGCCTGGCCCGTGGTGGCGCAGGACCTGGCTCGCGCCTGCGAGCTCGACTGCTGGCTAGCGGTGTCGGGGGCGCGGGCGGCGCTGATCGACCGCGCCGTGCGCACTGTCGTGTTCCACGTGCCCGGCAGGGACGTGCTGGGGTGGACGAGTGGCGCGAGCAGCGTGAAGCTGTTCTACGGGCGCGGGGAGTGCGTGCTGGTGAGCCGAGCCGAGCCCGAGGATGTCCGTGACATCACACTGCGGCTGCAGGTGCGTCGTGGCGTCCCGCGTGGGTTGGCGATGGCGCTGCTGGGAGCTTTGGTTTGTTTGTCGTTGTCATTGTAGTGACGGTGATTCAGCGCTATCACACTTGTCACGGCGATGGTCGTTATATCTTAAGCGGCATTGATTTGTATTCTTCTATCATCTTTGTCATGTTTGTTATTATTCCATGATCGTCATCAGCCCCTCCATTATTATGAACGGCTCGCAATCGGAAGTTTGCGAGTTAAAATCCTGGTTAGTGTTCGAATCCGCCCGTCATCACTTGGTGGAGAAGCCAACAAGTGGCTGGCCTGTGGATGGACTCTCCCCTGCCATAGGAATGTGGACATTGCCACCACTACCTCGAAGCTCATTTGAATGGTAAATCACTTATTAAGAATAATTTAAAATATAACTTTCCTATTTTGAGCATCTTCATCATATCATTTTTTCTATACATAATTGACCTTTTACATTCAGCATCATCATATATTAACATCAGATATATAATTATTGTTAGCCTATCATGATCATCAACGTCATCACAGTCATGCCTGTATCAGCTCATCACATTGTAACCTTCAGAAGAGAACGTTATCACATTTTTCACAATTATTATCGTTATATCGATATCACTACCATAGTCAATCATAATCATCACCTGCGTATCATTATCCTGTCTTCACAATCGTCTTTCACATCATGAGCACGACCACTTTTGGATTCCTGCAGTCACGAAAGCTTAAAATCAAGATTCACTTTTGTTCCATTCGTCATCACTTGATTCACTGTCACCCTTATCGCCACCGTTACCCTTCCTTCATTTTGATTACTTATCATGAGTTTTTTATTTTTGCCATGCGCATAGCTCTCATCATCGGCATAACCTTTGTTACAATCATAATATCGTCGTCGTCACCACTAACGTCCTGACCGCCATTAGAGAAACCTCTCCATACTTCCTAATATCATTGTACATGTTCCACACGATTGGGCATGAAGTTGAGATGGCAGTATGTGTCCGTGTGTATGCGGTAGTGCAGACCCGAATTCGATTACCGCTCATGGCCAACACAAGTAACGATTATCTGAACCGATTCTGGGCCTCCTCTCGATCGACTCGGCCTTAAATAATTACCTGGTGCTGTATGTAAACATCCCCACTGGGAAGACAAAGGTGACCGAGCAGGGTGCTGGCCACACCACTCCCTCGTGTCCCGTGCTAGCCTTGATAGCTGCTTGCTAACGGCATGCGCCCTGCCAGTCTGTTCAGGCCACAAAGGAGATCTGTGTCTTTGTTTTATGTTGCACTCAAGCCTGTGTATGTTTGGACATCTACACCAAATCTTCCTGTTCTGTCACACTTAATCTCCACTACCCTTGGTGCTGAACGTTTTAATCCTACGCAAACATGTCTCCAATGCTCAGTCTCAATTGTTTGACGGTTAAGTATGTTTTCAGACGTATCTGTTGCAAAAAAGACCCCACTTTGCCTTGACCAAACTGGAGGTCATGTAGAGGGCAGGACCGAATTGCATTAGCGAGAAGGATTTAGCCTCCAGGAAAATGTGTCTGCCGCTGCCGCCTCTGTTCTCCTGCACGTTTACTGGGTCATTGGTCCTTTTTCTGCAACAGGACTCTTGCAGGGATATACGCGGTGCATATCCAGATGCGCCTATGAACACCGATTGGCATAATTGGATATTGTTTTGGATGCAAAGGAAAAAATTTCAGCTTGATCCCTGCTTGCACTCTGGTTTTAACAATGTTTGGACTGCGTGTTCGTGCACACATGCACGCGTGCGTGCATGTGTGCACTACTCCACTTTATGGGGAGTGGTAGTGTAGCGGTTAGCGCGCTGCGCACCGAACCCAACGACCTAAGGTCGATTCCTGCTCATGGCCAACACCAGTTACGATTATTTGAAACGGTTCTTGGCCTCCGCTAGGTCGACTCAGCCTCAAGTGAGTACCTGGTGCAGTGTGTAAAAACATTGCCACTGAGGAGACAAAGAGGAGGCAAAGGCAGCTGGGCGTGGTGCTGGCCACCGACCCCCTCGTGCGCCGTTCCGGCCTTTATAGGTACTCGCTTAACAGCACTTGCCCCAACAGTCTGTTCAAGCAATATTTTTGTCTTTGTTGCTGTGTAGTGGTTGGTAAAGTACGCTGCGTTCTGATGCCAGCGACCTGTGCGGTCCACCAACCCCAATTCCTGGCTGCTATTCACAGAAACTGTTATCTGCACCTGACCTGGGCCTCCACTTAATCAACTCAAGGGGAGTTAGCCAATTAGCTTGCGACCTACTTTATCTAAGCTTTCATATAGGACTGATATTTTCTTTGTTACCCATTAAGGCCTCGCGGAGACTTCTTTTTAAGAGAGTCCTGCTGTGATATGTTTGGAATTTTTTTTTTCAGTTACTGCATGCGTACAGAAAGCAGAGTACCCAGTGACACCCAGGTGTATGAAGGGGATACACTCAAATTACTCAGAGGTCGCCTTTAGTAACCTACTTCCTCTACTGTCACCCACTGGCACTTCATTACACTACAGGTGACCCATGCTTAATCTCTTTGTGATCCACCAACCTCGCCTCCAAGTCACTGGGCGACATGTATCCATTAGAATTTCCATGCAAGGATAATTACTAATTGACAATTTACAACTTCCGTGCGCGTGCAGTTGTGGGGAGCGGTGGCGCAGTGGTTCGCGCACCGCACTACGAACACACGCAGCCTCTGTTAGATTCCTGGCCATGACTGTTACCTGTGCCAAGTGATATCAGAACCTGTTCTCGGGCTCCCCTAGTTTGGCTGAGCCTAATCTATAAGTATCTGGTGTGGTGTGTTAACGTCATCACTGGGGGAATAGCCATACAATGGAATGCCATCCGCAAGGAACTCCACCTCAGAGATGGAGCGATAAATTCATCTCGTGCACAAGTGCCAAGTTGATTGTTCATCACAGGATCGTGAAATATGTATGTTGAACTTCTTTCGCACTGTCCGTAGCCAACCACGCTAATCGGACGTGCGGGGCGAGGACATGAGGAGGCCTGCATCCAGCAGTGGACTGATCATGCTTGATGATGATGATGGGCTAGAGGCAGAAGAAATTTGCCTCAATCCATCCCCACCACCAATGGCCACACACGTGGCCACGTCTCGCAGCAGCAGCCGGGTTAAATGAGCTGAATTGAGAATGCACTGCACAAGTCTTTTTAGACGTGGGACAAACATCCCCATCGTCTAGCCGGCCTCGTGGAAAAGTTTTTTTTTTTAGCTCCCTCCATCTGGCCGCCTGGCTGCATTTTGACAAACTAAAACAACGTAAAAGCGATACCGCTAATGTTCAGGCCCTGGGGAAAGCTGTCAACAAGGCGCGAGATAGGTTAAAGTTGTGTCGCGCTGCAGTAACTGTTATTCAATCAGTTCGCGAACCCATTGAAAGCCCGATGATGCAGTGTTCTCCAATGGATACATGGGTATTCCTCAGTAATTGGCAAGATAAAGTACATTTCTACTGAAAGAACCAAAGAGTACATAGCTACTAGTTGCAACGATTAATTAATATGCGTTAAATCAACCTGGATGGCTTTTAGCATATGTGGCAGGAATCTGTTTGAAAAGCAAAATATAAATGACATCCTGGAAAAGCAGGTCTCCTAATGTGTCCATGAGCCCTGGAAAACATTGCTCTGCTTTTGTAAACGCTGCCCGGCAATATTTCACGATCACACGTTCAGAATTGTTGCACTCACTTGCCATCGAAGTCTATTCAGCCCATTGCCTGGTATGCAGTAACAAAATAGTTTAGGAAAATTGTCAGAACACTGCTTAAGTCGGTACGGTTCGCACAAGTACGCAGTAACAAATTGGGCAACTTCACCTTTGTACGTTCTCCAAATGCACAGCTGTTGTGCTGAGAAGAGCCCTGCAGGAGAGTGATTGGCAGCGCTTCAACACGTGGCTCACTACCCGACATGCACAGACGCTGGAGTAGCGTGCCCGCATGTACAGTGGGGGCATTCGTAACGGCGGGGGTTGTTTTTTAACGTCGACTTCCGCTTCGTTAACTCCCTCGGCAGCGCACGACGAACGGGTGCGAGACAGAGGAGCTCACGCTGCGGCGCAATGGCCTGGGCCAGCTGGGCTTCCACGTGAACGCAGAGGGCGTCGTTGCCGAGGTGGAAGCCTACGGCTTTGCGTGGCAAGCCGGCCTGCGGCAGGGCAGCCGCCTCGTGGAGATCTGCACCGTCGCCATGGCCACGCTGAGCCACGAGCAGATGATTGACCTCCTGCGTACGTCCGTCACCGTCAAGGTGGTGGTGGTTCCGCCCCTGGAGGATGGGAAGCCACGCAGGTGGGTGGGCCTTGGGGACGCTGTCCCACCCCTGCAGCATCCCACCCCTGTGCCATCTTCCCCCACAGCCTAGCCGCGCACGGCGTGTAACTCTTCACTCAGGTTGCCACCAGAACTTAACTTCAGCTAGGTTTGTCCAGATTGGTGATCTTGATCGGCCCGGCTGGATTTACCAATATTGCAGTGATTGTCACCTGCAGCGCATGTCTAAGCCAAGAGAAGCATTAGGCGATAACATAGCGATAAGATGTCACTTTGCCTTGTCACTTCCCGTGATGGTGTTTTCTGTGGCCTCACTTCATGTCGCTTCCTGTGCAATTGCTTTCTTTCTGAATGGGTGACTGGCGGCAAACCATCGAGCCGGATATGATGTCATTGAAACAGTGTGGTGGCCTAGCAATAGTTTTGTGACAGGTGCTCTGTTCTATTAAAGTAACGACATGTGTATTGGACCAAAGGCAAAACTAACTGTGGTATTACTGAACACCACTTATGATGATTGTGATATATAGTGTGCTAATTATGTTATCATATTACATTGTAAAAAAAAAGCGATGTCAGTAACATTGGACACATGCTACCATGGTCAAAGCCTGTGAGGTACTTGATGAAGGTCCCAAAGTTCATAAGAAAAATGTCGCCTGGACATCCACATTTTCTTAAAATGCCTCTTTGCCCTTGAACCTGTTGATCAAATTGTCTACATTTACTGCATGCTACCAAAAAAAGTTTGGTTGTTTTGTAAGGCCATGCTTATATTTCAGGCCTTGCAGCCTCCCTCATTGTCATCAACACTATTCTGAAGGCAGCTTTCGCCAGCGCGCAAACCCACAATGCTCAGAAAAACGCTCTCACCGTCACCATGATCGGAAGTGATTTTTTTTTCCAAACCCTCATCGCCACGACCCTTCTACGGTCCTCACCTTGCTGTGGCACCCTTTGTGCCTGCTCGCGCCGATATTTCAAGCAGTAGTTGGGCAGGAGAGATCGAATCCAACAGTTGTGGCTAAACCGGTTGTGTTTGGCAGCGGCGGTTGCGTCTGGAGGGCATGCACGTGTGTGCGCAAGTTCCTCGCGAAAAGTCCGCGTGGCGAGGTGCTCTGCCAACCCGCGTCGTCATTCATAATTAGAAATTTGCTTTTCGCGTGCGTTCATCATTCATTTTGCCGCCTTTCCTCACAAACGCGTCTCCACTTTTTTTCCGCGGTGCGTGTTTGTCTGAAAGTCAATAAACGTAAAGCGTTTGCGCAGCTGTTTTGTCTCAATTAAGCCGGCGGTAATGTGCTGTGTTATTTGTCGTGGTGAGTTTCACCGTTGCTGCGGGGCATAAAAGCACTGTAGACAATGGGGCCGTGTGGTGGAGTCCTTCGACAATGCGTGACCAGGCTGCCTCTTTGTGCTTTTCTTTAATTGGCGCAGAGACTGGGAGCGGCCATCCTCTTGACATTTGGTTACTTTTCACGTTGTTCTTAAGGAGCGATTCTTTAAAAGAGAATGCGATAGTTTAATTGTCACAAAAGCGGCAGTTAACCTTCCATACGCGTTCCCTCTGCTGCTTGTTCCACTGTTGGTTAGAACTTTGTTTGAGTCCTTGAACTTCGGTTGTGCAAATCGAGTACAGGGTTGTGCAGGTTATAAACTCAGTCACTGCTTTTGTAACTTCACAATATTATCAAACTCTATTTGCTGTACAGTATACGTAAAACCATGATGGGGTTTTTTTGATCCAAGTATTCTTTGTTTCATTGGGTTCTTACCCAGTTTTTAATAAAAGTTGTCTATCTATCTTTACTTAACTACCGTATCTAATAACAGAATTACAGTCTCATCATTAACACTGATTGACCAAATAAATGAAAAAGCGAACTAGTAAACTAAATCGATGACTCGCCTTGCAGGGCCCAATCCGAGCAGCACCGACCGCCACCGATGGAGTACAAGACCAACGCGGACTCGGCCGCCACCGCCGCCTCCGCCCTGGACTACCGGCCCCCCTATCGGGGGGCCAAGCCTTGGATGCGCGTGGACGGAGGGGGGCCGTCCACCTCGGGGGGTGGTGCGGGGGCGGCCGTTGGCCTCAGGGCCAGAGGTCCCGTCCCCACCTCTGGCTTGGCCCGGCCTCAGGCCCTGCAGCAGCAGCCGGGAATGGCGGCGCTGACACCGAGCGGGGCCGACCACATCCGGACGTTTGCCATGAAAGGGTGAGCGTTACAGAGTGACCCGCAGTCGCGAGATGTGAACTACCTCCGCTGGTATACAGGAGGTCGTAGGTTCGATCCGGACCCCGACGCCTGCTGTCTATTTGGAGTTTGCATGTCTCTCTCCCCGTGGCCGTGTGGATTTTTTTCTGGGTCCTCCGCTTTTTATTCCACATTCAGAATCAATGTGTCTGTTTAGAGTATTTGGCTGCTATTAATTACCACGTGATAAGCCACTTATTTGAGCTTCATTTGTGGTCAGGTCGCTTTTGAAAAAGAGCAACATAGCTCAGTGGGCTTACCTTGGTAAAATAGACTCTGTAGTGAGACACTTTGGGGTGGGACGTGTCATTAAACCGTTTCTATGGAAATGATTGCTGAAAAGCCTCACCGGCAATGGTTGCCACATCATTTTGTAACATTAAAATCAGTTCTTACACTTGTGAGATATATATATATATACATGCATCAAATACTGTGTGTAAGAATTCATTATTTTCAATGAATGCAACTCGTATGTAAATGAAAAATCAATGCTACTTTAGTTAAATGGCATGAACAACACGGGAAAAAACGAGATACAGAGGACACTAACAATACAAACAGCACAGTACAAACCAAGACAAACAGGTTAATAAATATCGTGTATATGCATGGATTATGCAACGCTTTCAAACATAAGTTTGACTTTGGAAGTATTTAATTTGCAGTACCGAATGAGACGGGTAGCTCTTGGAGTGAATTTTTTTTTGCATATTTGCAAATAGTCCTCGTTTCTCTGGAATATTACGACAGTATATGCCATTGCTGTACCATTGACAGTTGCCCTAAAATTTCCTCCAGTATTTAATGCCCCATCACTGTTTCATGCACTGATGTTCCATTCAGGAGTAGTAGAAATTATGTATTTAAAACAAGACTGTGCACATTTTTACCATTTTGTAAATTCACGTTGTGTAATTTAACGTGTGTGGCACAAGCTGCGGGCCTAACCTGGAAGGCTGTACCTGCATGGTTTGTGCTTGTACACCACGGCTTGTGCAATCTCTTTGTTGTTTTCATTTGCGTTGCCCACAATGACTAAGTTGTCCCTTTATGCGCAACTGCGAGGGTTAATGTCTCCTTTCAGCGCTGAGAAGCTGTCTCCCCAAGCCAAACTGCCAGGAGGTAAAATTGGGCACAGTGCTTTAATGAAAATAATAGCAATGAACACATCATATTGAGCAGGGTGGATTAGGGGGGCGGCTGTAATGGATTGGTGGCAAAGTAGGAGGCATGTGCTTCATTTGGTTGGTGGTAATCTCCGGCGGAGGTTAATAATAATGGGGTCAGGCCACGACCCGAGCTGTGTTTGTCCTTGAGGGCAGTATTGACTGTCTGGCACCGAGCTCTATCCTCACAGCCACTGTTGCCCTCCATATATCACAATTTACCAACCGCCTAGCCAATCACTAGTGGCCTACCAACAGTGGCCCTCAGTACAGGTCTGCGTGATTGGTTGCCTTTTCTCAGTGTCAACATAACTTGCCACCGCTCAACACTTTTGATGAATAGCTTGGCTCTATTAGCGACATCAACGCCCTAAATGCTCTTGGACAATTACGTGGCCATCATGTCCAATCGCGCTCTTGATTCTTCGTTTCTTTTTGCGATCAATAACTCTGTTCTTTTGAGAGTCGCCTGTTTTTTTCAGGACGTCCTCTGTTTAGCGGTAATCATCTTGGGCGAACTGTACGTCTTCTCGGGATGCTAAACGCCCCGGTTTTTATCAGTTGTGTAATGAAACATGGTATGCCACCACTCAAGACAATGCATTTACGTGTAGTTTTTCCCTCTTCTGCTATTCTGAGATAATTTACTTACCATGATACGTCTTCGTTATTTTATACCTCAGAGGTGGTAACCTGAAAATCCACGTGCTCGGTTGTGGGCGCCACAGTGGCGAGATGTTATCTCCCTCGCCTGGTATGCAGGAGGTCGTGGGTTTGATCCCGACCCCTTGATCACGTGGATTTTTCTCCGAGTCTTCTGCTTTTTTCCTCCAGATTTAGAATCGCCATGCGTTTCGAGTATTTGGCTGCAATAAAACTCCACATAAGACACTTGGTTTAGAGATCATTTGTGGCCAAGTCCCTTCTGAAAAAGAGCTATATAGCTCAGTGGGCCTTACCTAGTTTATAACATGAGACCATGGACTGGCCTGGACATGCGGCCTGGCCGTAAGCCGCATCAGTAACCACTGGAAGCGCCCCTCCTACATTCCTCTCACCAGTTTCTGTTCAAACAGCGCTTTGTTGGCTCTGTAAACACTCAGGGCGACTTCTCCAACTTGCGACTGTGCTCAGCACGAAACATTTTTTGCTTCTTTTAAATCTTTGCTTATTTAATTTTTTGACACTGTGTGCTGTGTATGTTTTTAAAAAGTTTAGCTTTCCGCTAACTGCACCCACCCGTCCCTCAGCGTGCATCACCTCTGCCACGCTCACAGATACGTAGGGGCATCATTACACAAACTCCCAACATCAAAATAAGCCGGACTTGTGTCTAATGCCTGCTAAGGCTGTGGATTATTACGCCATCTGTTCAATGAGGCCTTCATGTTGAAAAACGTTTGCTTTACTCTCCCGATTTACATGCACAGAACGCGTAACCCAAATATTCCCAGCTTTATATTTCCAACTTTCTGGTTGCCTGGCATCAGGTCCAGAAAGGTTTGCTGACAGCCGAGTGAGCCCACATAGGAATGCAACACGTGTGTTGTGCTTGTTGGTGACCCATCCAGGTGCTATCCAGGCTCAAACCAGCTTGGATTTTCCAAATTCTGATGTGATCAGATGCATCCAAGATTACTTGGTCATATGTGAACATAAAATATGTTTCCTAACTAAAAAGTACAAAAAGTAGGGAAAGACTTTACGACTTCCCTGTATTTATGGGACATACACCGTCTAACAACAACAACAAAGCAGCAGCAGCAGCAGAGACAGAAGAGAACAAAACGGATTGCGCGACGTGTCCCGTAGCTCAGCTCGCCACTGCAGTCTCTGCCTCACTGTTGTCTTTTTCCTACTTCCCAATTCATTTTACTAAGATCAACTGATGATGACACATCCCCGGGGGCCATCGGCTCCCTGCAGAGACCTCACTTTCCCTCTTATTGCACACATACACTGAGATATATCTCACTGTCCAAACAAACACAATTGTGCACAAACGCAAGCAATATAGTGACAATAATTATTATTATGATTATAATATACCACACACGAGCTCAAAGCTGCATCTTATTGTCGTTTTGCAGACCGGGTTTGGCTGCGGAGAGCTCTCCGCTTTGGGTGACGGCATCCGAGTTGAGCCAAGGATACCGGTACTACACCGGCGACAGCATGGCCAACCGGGCGAGGCCACCTCAGGACCGGTATGGCGTGCTGTGGCCGACGCGACACCAGTCGATACGGCTTTGTCAGTTGCCTCTGAAACTTGTTGTGATTCTAAGTTCACGTGAGCTACTTACCCTTGTTGCAGCGCTCTGTTCAGTTGCACTTAATTGCGATGGAATTTATACTGAGGCACAATATTCAGTAATAGATGGTGATGATGATGATGATGATGAAAGGGATAGACTCGCTATCCCGCACCTGCTAGAGAACACACGGAGCCTGTGGTTTGTGATGCCTGGGGCTATGTCAAAGGCTTTCAAAGGCAACTTGAAGCACTGGCCCCCTTTGGTGTTGCTTGGCTTGAGGCCACAAAAAGTCGGGAAAAAAATGGCAAGCGAGCTTGCCCTGCCGTGTGGACATTGCGTCTCTCCTGTCCAGAGCGCAGTTTGAGAAATGTTTTGTGGAGCGAACAAAATTTAAGTAAAATAAACACAGGGCAGTTAGGCATTTCACCGGATTGAAATCCTACCCAGGAAGAACGTTCTGTTTTCAAGAATGTGTGCCGGAAGTTAGTGCTCCTGTGGTTTTGTTATAGGCTGAGCGTGCGTGCGTGCATACGTACATGCTTGTGTAGTGGCTGTGGGGAGCGGTGGTCAAGTAGTGAGCACACTTTTCTATGGAACCTGGCAACTCGGGTTCGATTCCCGGCTATAGTAAACATCAGTGGTCACGGTGAACATCACAAGAGAGTCGTATTCAAACTTGTTCCACACGCCGCCCCCTCGGTTGATTCAGTCTTCATGAGTGCAGTGTGTAAGCATCAGTACTGGTGAGGCGAAGGCAGCCAGGCTTGATGTTGTCCCCACACCCCATCGTGTGCTATTCTGGCCTTAATAAGTGACGAAGAGCACTTTCCCAAACAGTCTATACGGCCATCCAGGGGCTCTTTATCTCTGACCAGGTTTCCTGACAAATGAGGCACACTGCTGGTGACAGTAGGTGTATGAGCCTTGCTTGGCTCTCTCCCAGGTTGATTCGGCATTACATAAATATTTGCTTCTGTGGGCAACGCCTGAACCTGGTAAACAAAGGCAGCCAGGCGGTGTGCTCTGTTCTTGTCACACCACCTCATCACGTGCCGTCCTCGCCTTAATTGGGCCTGACTGAGAGCACTTGCACCAACAGTCTCTAGTTGGGGAAGTACAATGGGTGTTTTTAACATGCAAAGAGGTGGGTTCTACTGGTCCGGTATCGGTGCCTGCAGGAGGCTTCTTATTTATAAATATTTGCAAATCCCTACGTGCATTGGGAACTGTGTGCCGAGAAGGCTCTTGAGACATGCACTGGAGTGCGCACCCTTGCCGCCTATCTACCCTCGGGACCCCTTGCCCATGATTATTTTTTTTGTCTGCAACCTGGGCTGGCATGCAGAGAAAGGTTTTAGCCACTTATTAAAATGTTTCTCATTCTATTGCCTTTAATTACTTTATATCATGAGATTTGCATTTTTGGAGCATGATAGAAGGTTACTTATGAACTCTGTGTGTTTTTCATGATCTGTTCTGGTGAATTCTAGGCAGGAAAATTCACGATTGTGACCATGGGATCAGTGCTCCCATCATGCATTGCACGTCAAATGCCATTAGCATGCTGCGTGTATGGCACTGTTTAATAACACACGCAGCCTTGGTTTGTTTTAAACCATAAACTCACAAGAGACAATTGTTGCCCTTAACATTGTTTACAGCAGCAGGACAATGCAGTTTATAATGCACCGCTTGTCTGCATTACTACTCGATATGTTTTCCGGCTGGCACACACGTTTGTGTCTCGTCATTTTCTCCTCGTTTACAGGAAGAATTTCTTTGGAATTCATTTCACTTGTGAGTTGGCAGACAGCGGTCCTTTAAGGGCACCTGAGCTGAATGCTACTTCTTGCAATCGGGAGAAACGAATCTCTTAGCGTCCGTTATCCAAAGTGCATAGCCACTGAAGCAGCAGTGATTTGCCTTAAACACACACATGTGTGTGTGTCGTGAGCGAGGGGTGGGGGGGTTTGCACTGCGCTACGAACCTGACGACCCGGGTTCGATTCCCGCTCACGGCCAATACCAGTGACGATTATCTGAATCGGTCCTGGGCCTCTCCTCGGTCGAGTCAGCCTCAGAGGAGTACCTGGTGCTGTGTGTAAACATCGCCACTATGGAGACAAAGGCAACCAGGCGTGGTGTTGGCCACCCACCTCCTCGTGACCCGTGGCAGCCTTTATAGTCAGGCTATACGGGGATCTTTGTTGTGAGCGTGCACTTCATGGCGGTAGCGCCGGGCTCATGCTCTCGTCGCCCTTCGGCCGTCGTAAACGAAGCTGTCAGGTGCGGTGTGAGTGTGGGGGGGTGGGATGCAGTGTGTGGGGTGAGGGCTTGCCATAGGGTGAGGTACGGTGTGGAGTGTGGGGGGCCTCTGCTATGTGGGGAGTAGCGGTGGTTTTGGGGGAGGGGGTCGCGTGTGGCCATGGGGTGCGTTGTGGGGGGGGGGGGTGACGCTTTCTCAAAATCCCTTCGAGAGCAGTGCGAGCGGTTTAATCGGCATTGCCGCGTGTACATATTTCAACAAATAAGTATTGTGGATGAAACAAAATCGGCATTCTTAAAATATAAAAACTGTACACAAGCAAAAGGTGGCAATCACTGCTATAGGCTGAGCACTATGTCACATGGGTGCTGCTGTACACAGGTGTGGATCGGTGGCACAGTGGTTAACGCATTGCATTATGAACCCAGTGAGCCGAGTTCCATTACCGACCGTGGGGAACATGAGTGGCGTTAGACCAGATGACGCCAATGCAGACAAGATTCCTTGTAAAAGGTTTCAGTTTGGTGTTTTAACATCTTAACACCTGTTTTGTTGCCAGAAAAAAGGGGAAGACCTATTCTCATATTTTGGTACTGGCAAAGGAGGTCCCATGATAAAGAGTGACACTTTGGATAAAATAAGGAAGCATAAGTTTAGTGGTGAAACCTGATCAACGAAGTTTAAGTGGCACAGCACGCGATGCAACTGCTGTCTCAAGTCCCGACACAACACGCCCGAGGGCACCCCGTGCTGGCCGTGTATGGATGTCTGTGTGTGCATGTGTCTGTGTGTGCGTCTGTGTGTGTGTGTGCATCTATCCATATGTCGGTGTGAATCTTTGTTTTTTCTGTGTGGGGAGCGGTGGTGGAGCGGTTAGCTCACTGCTACGAACCCAGCAACACCAGTGACGATTATTTGATCCGGTCCTGGGCCTCCCCTAGGTCGACTCAGCCTCAGTGAGTACTTAGGCGTGGATGTAAACATCGCTAGCACTGGGGAGACAAATGCGGTCTGGCGTGGTGCTGGCCACCCACCCCCTCGTGTCCCAGTCCGGCTTTCATAGGTGCTGCTCGCTGACAGCACTTGCCCCTACAGTCTGGTAAGGCTATACGGGGAAGCTTTTTCTGTTTGTGCGGCGGGGCTCCTGCAAGCTCACACATGCTCACGTGCCCGCGCTCATGCACGCCAATACTCTCATGCGTTCCCAGCAAACCCATAAAAGTGTAAGTTGTGACTCTCTCCTGGGTCGGATCAGCGTTAATGCATTCATCATCATTGTCATGCGGGGTCGTAGGTTTTATGGTTACAATCACTCCCGCCATCACTGCCATATCATCTATGTGTCATCACCATCATCACTGTTGTCATCTTATTATTTTATTGGTATTATTACACGTTTTACCCGAGAAGGCTTCACCCAGTCTCATGACTCTTTTCAGGAGGTTCCTGGCAAATGTTTGTAATTGGGTGGGGGGGGGGGGTGATGATTGCTGTATATACAGTATTCCAATTGAGTAATTTGCGAATAATTTTTCTAATTTGGACCATGATGCCAGCACACAATGGCCTATCATGACACCATGAGATATTTAACTTCCACTGTGAAGTAGATGGCGGATTGCTTTTATTTATTCTTACACCCACAGTAATCATATTATAATCAGGGCGGCCGATGGATTCCAACAGCTCTCCTCTGCAGCAAGAGGTGAATGCTCAACCGCTAGGCCATGTCACTCTTCCAGACATCATTGTCTTCATCACCACCACCACCACCACAGTCCTTATCATCATTAACGTGGTCAGTGTATTCGTCATAATCATTATTTTATGTCGTAATCACAATGATTGTCTTAATTACTGCCACCAGAATCATTATCTTTTTCATTATATTATCACCATCTTCATCACCAAAATCATCATAATCACCACCAGAATCATCACAATCACCTTCGTTACTGTCCCAATTACCGGAATCAACACAATCCTCATCCCTATGAGGATAACAACATGCATACATCTGGTGAGGCAGTCCCCACTCAATGGAAAGTTTATGGCGATTGCCTTTTGGCTAGACTCGTCCCTGTCACAGAAATGTGGATCACTGATGGAGTCGAGTACTGCACCTCTGAGTGTAAGGGGCACTAACTTGTGGGCGTTAGAGAACACCCACCGATTCGGAGGAGGCAGAGGTAGTCTGGCCTGTGGGTTGCATACACAAAAGCTACTGGCTTTGCCTGCATGGTTGGAAAGTGTGTGCCTGCGTCACGGCGTATGGCGGTGTTTGGTTTGTCGTGTTTTTGTGTGTGTACGTGCGTATATGTGCATGTTGTTGATGTTTGCGTGTTTCTATTGTAGGAAGCACACCGCATGACGAACCCGGCGACCCGAGTTCGACTCGCGCTCACAGACAACACGAGTGACTATAATCTTGAACTCGGTCTTAGGCCTCCCCCTGGGTCATGCCGTACTCGCTGACAGCACTTGCCCCAGCTGTCTGTATGGTTATAGGGAGATATTTGCGTTTGTTATGGGCAACAGTGGTGGATTGTTTCAAGCATTGCATTACAAGATCCCAGCAACCCAGCTTAGATTCCAAGCTACATAGAACATCGATAGCAAGTTGTACTTAAACTGCTCCAACGCATTTCCGAGGTCACCTCAGCCTGAAGTGAGCATCAGCTCTGAC